TGTCCGTGAATAGTCAAGTCTCTGTGACTTTGATTCAACACACATGCTTAAATAAACCCTTTTTGAACAATGTTAACAGAAAATCTTTTGATTGTCTTGTCTGTTATGTTCAAAGTGATGGGGTAATCAAATCTTGAAGTGCTTTTTTCCCCCGTTAAGTCTCTTATCAGATTAGAATTACTTTTGTATCACAGTGGTATTGCCTTGTCCATAGTAAACTCTATCTCCTATTTACCATTGTTACACATAGTGAAAATTGCTTTCTGTAGCTGTTAAACCAGACAATGATTCCAACGTCTTTTGATAATGGTAATAAAACTAAAACACTTGGAAGTCCAGATAGTTTGTGTTTGAATACATTTTTTACAGTGTGAAATAAAGAAAAAAACAACGCAGCATTTTAAAATGAAAGCTCAAATACTTGCCAGTGCATATGAAACTGAAACAGGGCCCCAAAACCATACATGGACTTCAGGCATTAGTTTTCCATACATTTTCAACATCTGGTTTTGAATTAGTGCATCAAGGTGGCAAAAAAGCAGCATAATCTATATACAAAAGAAGGAAACAAAAATTTGATTCATCCACAAGTTTTAAAAGCATTTTAAAGAAAAATAAAAAAATATAAGAACAAAAAGTATAACATACAATAATACACTAACATTTTATTATCAAAAACACAACGAAGGAGATAAACATGACTTCACCCCTGAGTTATCTTGGGTTCAATGGGAATTTTCATCTTAATATTCTTCCTAACAACACGTGGTTACAGTATCAGTTGAGGAAACACAAGTGGAGTACAGACCCTGAGGCACTGTTTAAGCCAAAGTGCTAATTTTCATTTTCTAAACAATGAACAAAGAAAGAGATAATGCCTATGGTCCTTAAGTACACAGATTTTTATCTATGGGTTTCAGTTAAAGGCAAAGCATTACTGAAACAAGTGATGATTTTGCCCATGTCTGGCTTTACATTCTTAAATCCCACTGAAACTGCATCACCCTGAAACTGCAATGTCTTGTTTCAAATATAGTCTTGTAGTAGAATAGGCAAAGCATACTAGTTATTCAATACTAAATTGGAGATTTTTTTCAGTGATCATAAAGCTCCAGTTAACTGTGCAACACAGTTAACTTGAAGAAACGAAATGCTGCATCTGTAGCCAAACATATTATTACTATAGTCATCCAAAGGCTTTCTACTGAGTTTGTGTAGCACTTTTTATACCATTTGGTATTACTCAGTGAATTTCTTGTTTAGGAAACCTTCTGGCACTACTTGCTTGCAATTCCTGTCTGGTCACTTTTCAATTCATCTGTCATAAAATGCAAAAGGACTTCTTTTGTTTACGAGAAGACCTCCCATTCTTTAGTCTCAATGCTTTCTGATTTAAAAAAAAACTCCTACATCTTGTAAACTTCTAACAGCCTTAAAGGAGATTCACAACACTATTGCTATTGTGCCCCCACGACCCATTTTGGCCATTCTTTTTTTTTTTTTCTTTTCTTTTTTTCTCCAATATATATTTGTAGACAGTTAGGAAAGAAAAGGAGTGAAAAAAAATAAACTATGAACCCTTTTTCTCTCTCCTCACCTAAAACTTCTCTATGGTAACCAGACAGTTCCTCATTAAAGAACTGCAATCTTCAGAAATAAAAGATGACAACTAGCTGGCAGCTGAACTCACCAACTGTAAAGTTACAGCTTGTCAGGGATGCTGACAAAATCTTCTCTTTTCTCTCAGAATCAAAGTTCAATAATCAAAGCCAACAACAACTGGAGGAGAAATAAGTAACTATGTGTCTTGTCAAGAATTCAAGTATGTACCTTGAAAAACAGCATTCATTTGATGCATACTTCTCTCTTCATACAATTCTGATGTGCTTTTGCTGATAAGCCTCTGTGCCTGTCTGGAATAAAACATGTCTTTGAAGCACCTGTTACCATCCCGTAGCCGCAATGTCTATAGTCAAAAAAATAAACATTCGCTTCTCACAGAGGAGCACCTGTCCTAACTAAGTCAAACCAGATTTGAATCTTCCAAGTCCCAACAGGAAATGAATTTCCCAAAGCAAGACCATTTTATACTGGCCAAAGAGAAGAATGAAGACTGGAATTTCCTATGTCCACGTATTTTTTCAGGATGGGGGAGGGCAAGAAGGACAGGACTGACTGAGAAAGCAGTTATGCATACAAAACAGAAACATGCCATATAATGTGTATGAGTACACATGTATCATACATATTATCATGTGTCTGTGGTAAGGCTACCCAAATTCTAGTCCGTCTTACCTTGACTTTTGTGGGACAACATTTGGGACAACTCAAGCTCTGCTATTCTGTGCCTATTTTCAGTGTGGTCATTGTATGCATCACCTGGCAGGTTTATCTGTGAAAATGCACAAGTCTGATAGCACAGAGTTCTGTAAAACAAAGAAGAGAGATTTGATGCAGAGATAAGATTCCTTGCTTTCAATTTCAGTATTTTAGGCACAACATTGTGATTTCCATTGGATGCAAATCCTTAAACGTCTGATAAGAGATGTTTTCTCAGATATAGTTCAATGTCCTGTGCACCTGGTCACGGAATTTACTGTCTCCTGAAGTTAAAGATATCAACCAAACATCTGCATCTGTACACGCCTTTTTCTGAGCGCATGAGCTCCCAGTTCCTAGCCTGTTATTACTTGATCTTTACAATGCAGGAAACCAAACCCTGATTAATACAATTGTGAGAAACTGAGAAAGTCTGTGGTATGAACCCACCTCAATATAGGAATTCTAACAGCAACCAAAAAACTACTGGAGACAAGATGTTTAACCAACTGGTTAGAAGAACAAGGGCATGTTTTCTGAGGGTAAATCAGTTTTTGGAATGTTCTAAGCTGCAATTTACATTCCAGGGTCATGGAGCACTCCTACCCCATCATTACATAGCTCAGTCCTAGCTACCGAGACCATGCAATCAACATGTCTTCTCCAAAAAAGCATATTCACTAAGAAGGAGCACTCTGTAGGCAGACAAAACCTATTGCAACTTACTTAAAAAACAGGAGATCAACCCTAACACAGTTGTGATGAAGTAACCTTTATCAAAGCAAGGGAAAGGCACGGTCTAATCTGGCAGTTCTGAGAGTGTTGGAAGATATTCTCAGGACACTCAGCATGGGGGAGGAAGCCTGTTAGAGCTATCTCAGACTCTTGAATTTGCTGGAAAGGTTTGCTGTGTGTACCACAGCTGACTTTGCTTCAATCAAAGTAGCCACCAGCCACTGAGAAAGGCTGCAGTTTATATGCAAGATATGCTAAAAGTAAATTATATTTGGTATCGTTCTCTGCAGAAACTTAAGCAAATTTGTGCTCTGCACACACCATAATAATAGCCACTTGTCCTGTTGTTAACCGCCTGACCCTTTTGCCAGGCTAACAAGCCCTTATGACTTTTTTTTTTTGGAGTGATAGCCATACACTTTCAATTAGGTCCAGTTTCAATAAATGCAGTGAAAGCGGTGCAAACTTCTGAGATGGTTGCATTAATACCGCTTTGGCTGCCAGATTGTACCAGCATAGCCTATGCTGACAAATTGCTAATTTATCTCTCATTGATACTAACTTAAACTATGTATTGTAAGGGAGATTTACAGTGATTTTGCAAAGTTCAATTTTTCAAATACTTTTTGAAGGTCAGTATATTTTCTAATAGAAAAAATAATTTAAAATACTTTATAACCTCCAAAGAGAAACTGAAGGAAGTTGAACTACTCCATTTTTACCTATTTCTACTTGTTTTTAATTATTACTTATTATTTTTATTATTTCTTCTTGCATCATTTCTCCTTACATCCTTTGATGTGTTCATGCAATACCTTTATCACTACTGAAAAAGAGGAAAAGGTACTGGGGTGAGAGTGAACATAATCTGGAAGAACAAAATTTAACTGACTTCAGGAGAGGTGACATCAGATCCTTGGGTCCCAGTTTCTGAGTTGCTGACTCCAGCGTTCTTCCTTAAAACCATGCAGGAGACACGGCTTAACCAGACTGCTCTGCATAACTCTCTGGAGACACCCTGGTTTTCAAAGAAAGTTTCAGTTAAGGATGTAATTCCAAAGACATTTTTCTTTGATAAAGTTATCTTTGTAGATTTTTTCCTGACTCCTGAAGATTACCACTACACTGCGCTGCTCAGAAAGATGAAAAACTGAGAAGGAAGAGGGATAAGATATGTTCAGTAATAAGCTTTAAGTATTTTGCCTTTAAGTGCTAAAAGCCCACATAACTCGGCAGGTTAGGCCTGGGTAGTATCAGCAACCAATATTGGCCATTTCCTTACTTGAGTGTTCAGTACAAACATTTGCAGAGCCGGTTGCTCAATGGAAGATTTCGGAGACACGCTCTTTTCCCTGCGAACACCGCACATTTTTGCAGTTCTGAGGTTGATTCCCCAGCGGTTTCCCAGCTTCGAGGCCAACCCTGCCTCTCCCCCAGGTCACCGCTGCCCTTACCGGGGCCGGGACCCAGGGCCCTGCCACCTCCCCCTGGGGTTTGGGGTTCCTCCCGACCAAGAAGAGCTCCGGCCTCCCGGGGCCAGCCCGCTGCTGTGGGGCTGAGCCCGCGCTGAGGGGCCAGCTCCCTGAGGCGACCCCTGCGCCCGGGAAGGCTCCGTGTGTGTGTGGACACGGCACATGGCGGACCCCCCGGGGGCCGCCGCCTGGCCCGGCGGTGAGGGGAGACCGGGGGGAAGCGGCGTGAGGCGAGCGGTGCCTTCGAGGCTCCCGGCCAGGCTCCGTCACGCTCCAGAGGAGCGCGGAGAACAGCCGGAGGGGCCGGGGAGGAGCGCGGCGAAGGCGGCGCAGAGGGGCGCGGAGCACCCGCTCCCCCTCAGTCACTGTCCGGCCACGGATGAGGGACGCCTCATCCTACCCCTGCCGGGACGGGGTCTGCCAGGCCCCGTGGGCTGTGAGGGGGAAACGTGAAGAAAACGACCGTGCCACACCGGTGTTCTCCGTGCCGCGGCCACCCGCCCAGAGATCGGTGAGGGGCACCGCCGTGAGGCGGAGCAGCTCCTCCCCGCTGCCGGAGGTGGAGCCGGGCGGCGCCGTGGGGCAGCGCCGACATTTCCCGAAGGGTCGAGGCTCCCCCACAGCAGCGATCGCCTCATCAGCAGCAGGAGCAGCAGCAGCAGAGGGACTCGCCTGGAGATGACGGACGCCCTGCCGCCCCGCGGCTGCCAGGCGGCGGAGCCAGCGGAGGACAGCTACTTTCGGAAGGTGAGAGGCAGGCTGTGCCCCAGGGGGCCGGGGCGGCCGCCCCCCTGCGCACCCTTTAACACCCTCAGCACCCTCACCTCCCTCATCTCCTCAGGGCGCGGGCGGGCCGGGGTCCCGGAGGGCGCCCGTGGGGTCCCTGCTGCCCGCCCCAGGATCTGAGGCGGCTTCACCGCCTCAGTGCCCGGCGCTCTCCCGCCTCCACAAAACGAGCCAAATTCCACCTGACTTTTTTTTTTTTTTTTTCTTTCTCCTCCTCTCTTTCCCCTTTCCTACGTGTTTTTCGGTTTGTTTCTCGCTACGTGTCCTCGCTAGCTCTCTTGTGTACCTGTAGGAAAGCTCACTGGAGTGAAGCAGTCAAGTTAACAGGCTCGTTAGGAAGTTTTTAATAAACATTTGCCCTAATTACTCTTCAGACTGACTGGGTTCTTTCGGCCCAGCAGCAGCCCTAGTACGTGAGGCCCCGGGGCAGGGGGGGTGTGGGGGCGTTTTTGGTGGCACTTGTGTATTGGAGACTATAAACTGCTTATTCTGTGGGGAAAACAAAACGTGAACGGCTTATTGCCGTTCTCTTCTCCTCACAGACATCAAACCCTGTGCTACGCTGCAGCTGCCGTCTGGATTACACCCTAGGGAGGCACATTTGCTTTGTTCTGCTGCCTCCTTCACAAAACGTTTGGCTTTTGCTCCCAGTAGTCCCTGTATTCATAAGCCTGCAAAGCTTAAGCAAACAGTATTGCCCTTTAGCAGAGGAACTGCTCGCAGCTGAAAAGGGCGAAGTTTTACTCGTGCCTGCCGTGCTGTGAGGAATCGGCACTGCCACATAAACAGCTAGGCAGACTGAAGCGAAACTTTGACCAAATCTTGTCTGGTTTCTTCACTTGAGTAATCCTACTATAATATATGGTGAGTAATCACTTAGTAGTCCACAGCAGGAAATCATGAAGTGTGGCAAAGTTGTAATTATTTAGAGTTTTCACAGCTATACTTTCTAGAGTACTGGATGCCTGCGGGCTGCCTTGGTAGTAGGCATGTCAGTGGAACTTGACAAGTTTTTGTTAAGTTAGATACAAGTTGTCTTGCCCACTTTTTCTTCCTGGTGGGGACAGGCTGCAGTTTAACAGTCACGTTGTGCTTTGTAAGTCGTAAGAGGAATATACCTGCTGTACTCAGACTGACTGGAGGGCTGGGTCCTTCTTGATGACGTTACTGTACACTGGGGATAGGTTCAATGAAACAACATTAGGTCTGTGTAAACTTCATACGCTGAAAAGGTAAAAGGCTTTTCTAATATAAAAATACTGTATCCAAGATCAATTTTATATCTGTTTATGGACATCTTTCCCGCTTCTAGATCACTTGTCTTAAACCACTATAAAATGGGTATGAAACTGATGTTAAACAAATCTGGCTGAGCCAGAGTTGCAGTAGCACACTTTGTTTACACTGTTCACTCAGGAGATCTTTTAAAGGCTCATCAAGCTCCTACATATCTTTAATACAGTTGCAAACTTCAGATCAAGCTAGATGCTCAAAGCCTTCTATCCCTAAAAGTTAAATGTAAACGGAAAACCAGTATTCCTTGTTATACATTAGTTGAATGGTCTCAAAGATCAGACCTTCCATCCAGAAGAAAACAAACTAACTTTTAAAGAGGAAAAAAGCCTTCTGGAATGTTGTACAGATTTAAGCCGTGATCCAAGAAGTTACTTTGATAGAATTGCTCTTTAGACCTTACGTGTTCATTTGAATGGTATGCTAGATGACTTAATGTAACAAACTGATTGAACTGGTCACGTGTGTCCACGGGTTTCTCCCCCACCTCTCAAGAGCTCCTTCACATTGTTTTCCCTTCCCTTTTTAAAATCACACTACCTATTTTCGCTGAAAGAACACCAGAATCATTGGTGCAGAATCACATTGGTTTCCAAGGCTGTTACTTGTGTTTTGAGATTGAAAGATGCTTATTTAATTGATCTTTGTTCTAAAAACTGTGGAGCAAGGTGAAACCACTTGCTTTATATCAGTACTGCTCACAGAAGGGCTTCCAAATATTCTTTATGCAGTGTGGTTGTCTTCTGTACTCTGCCAGATTATATGCAATGCAATTTTAACACTGAGAAATCTGAGTGAGTAGTTCGTATAATATATCAATTAATATATCAATTTGTTCTAGACTCTGATATTTTCTTGTGATGAATGAATTGATGTGGGAAGTATACTCAAAGTTTATATAGTACCCTTTTGTAGTCTTGAATACAACATACCAGAAAGTGACACTGAATATACCCAAGATGCAATATGTAAAAAAATTATTTCCTTAATTCTTGTTTAGCTTTTTTTCTATAGGGAGGAGGTCCTGTAAAACTATGACTGGCCCTGTGTAAAGGGCAATGAGCAGAAATGTGGAAACAGAAATACAATCCTCCTTCCTGCTTTCGGACCTGTTGCCACGCTAGAAAGTTAGTCTTGCTGTGACTCTGCCAGGTCTGTCTCAGATATGACGGTGGCAGCTTCTCCTGGCCACTCCCTGCACCATCCCTCAGGCTTCCTTTTACCGTTCTCCTGCAGTGACCTTTCTCCTCCTCTTAACCCATATTTGTGTCCCTTCTCTCTTTCCTCCCCATGGCAAAGGCCCCTCATCTTTCTATATGCAAATTGCAGTTTCCTCTTCTTCCTGAGGGCTTCCCCACTTTTTTTTAAATAGATCCCCTGTATGATTGCACACCTCGTTCTGTTAAAACTACGTATAACAGAACTCTGTCAATATTGCCCTTACTCCATTCCCCTTACAACACTTCTCAGAAAAAGAAGTTTCTTCAACTGTTTCATTAGTTGATTAGTGAGGATTTTTTTTTTTAATTTTTTTTTTTTTTAAATCCTTGCTGATGTCCTGGAGAGGATATGGCAAGGTGGTAGAGGTACCCTACTAGGGCTTTCCATCAAAGAGGAGATGGAGCTTCTTGCTTTCTGGGAAGATAATGCCCCAGGAAGCTGGTCCTGCTACTGTCTTGTTTATCTCCGCCCATTACATGTTGAGAGTGTAATTCAGTTTACCCCATGGTACAATACCAGGGCACACTGCACTCATAGTTCTGGGTGGTACAAGTGCTCACAGATGACTAGCTTTGTGCCTCGACCTCTTCCACGCAGAGTTTCACGTTCTTTCATTGGTTTTGGCTGTGACCCTGTGAATCGAGCATGCTTATGCCAGCCCTCCATTCAAGTCCACTCCCAGTATTTCCTCCCATGCAAGAATCTCCGTGACCAGTAGAAAAGAGTGACAAAACTAATGATAAGAACAAAGAACAGCTTGTTTTAAAAGTAGAGCAAGGCATTCACACGGGAAGGATTTTTCAACAGACCAATAGTAATTAAAGCAGGTCTATCCTTGTGTGCTGTTTTGCTTACCTGAGATGCTGCTTATACTTCTGGGAAGTCGGTCTTTAAGCTTTCCATAGCTCTGTGAATTGCTTGGCTGCTCAGACCTCTTCCTATTTTTTTTTTTTTAGTTACTCTTGAGTTCTCATGGGAAAGACAATTCTGTTTTCCAAGCTGATGTCCACTCCCTTCCCATGATAACAGCACCCCACTAAACCAGTATGGTACCACAAAGTAACCCAAAGAACAGGTCAATAGGGTGAACACAGGATGGTTCTAAAGCTGTGTTCACCCAGCCAGAGGATCCAACACTTGCATGGTGATCTCAGTAGAGTTTTACCAGTCCTGCGACTTTTCCTGTTGGCTTGGAGCAGAGGAAGGAAGAGATTTCTAGCAAGTTCTTTTTAATACATCTTTGCCACCTTGGTTTATTGCTTTATAACTCCTTATGCAGATTGTAACTTTTCAAGTTTCCTGATCGGGAAGCTGCAATAGATAAGATAAAGCCTTAGTTCATTTTTCAGGCTTATGCTTTCTGTAGGTCTCCAGATACCTGCTGGTGGTACAGCACAGAGCGTCCCTTCTTCAGTGTGGTTGTTTTGGATAGCAGTACATTGTGTTGCACGCAGGCAGAGCAGCTGGACAGCTAGCTTAATAAATCTTTAGATGCTGGTCAGGTGAGCGGAGATGCTTGTTTTCTTCAACCTTTCTAAAGGCTTTGGCTTGGTCTGTGAGACTAGAAAATTGCCATCTAGACCAAACTAGTGATTCAGAAAGAAAGACAGTACATATTAGTCCTGCCTGCCAGGGGAAAGGGCTAAAAACAGAACACAGGCAGTTCTGTAAATAAAGCACCAGGCTGAAAATGATGATAGGTATGGTAACCTGCTTGTGAGTCAGCACTTCCCTGATTAATCCTCTCTCCTTCCACTCCTTAGCTTTTGGGCTTTCTTCTGTAGGGTTTCCCCCTGCCCCGCTGTGCTTAATGGCTCAGTTTACCAACCTGCTGCACCTGTGCTTCCACTGGGCTGGAAGTCTGTAGTCATTAGTAGCCAGGCAACCATTAACATTAGCATTGACACAGGAATATTTATTTGCCTGTTTGTTCTCTTTCCATGTGTCTAGCAGGGACAGAAACAATGTTGTGATGATTCATGCACCACTTCATGCCATGCCCTGACCGCTCGTTGTATACAAATTCAAAAGACCTAAAACTGAAAGTAGACCTGCATGTGAGATAAGGAATCCTCTGAAATGTGGTTCATCAGGGGACAGACTTCTCTGATGGAATACTGATTTTTTTTTTCCTGTTGATTAGTGAGTGGTGCAACAAGATACTATTGTACAGAAAATACGTATTTGGAACTTAATACAAAGATTAATTCTGAAAGTTTACATTAATAATTTGGCCAGGTGCTTAGATCTGTAAAACAATTGCTTATGGTATGGGCTCCAGAAGACCAGATCTTCTTCACCCCTCTCCCCCTTATTTTAACCACAGATAAAAAACACCTACTATTGAAAGATTTGCAGTATATGGCTAAAACTTCAACAATGAACCAACAGAAATATGCAAAGAGCAACTTTAATTGTAGAAGATAGGATCACTTCTAAATTATTACGTATATTTCCTGAAGTCCTACTAGAAATACTAGTGTGAATTTATTTACCATAAACTCTATTGCAGCCAAGGAATTTACCTCCGTAAGTTAAGTCACATACACATTTAAATATCTGGAGGCTATGGCCATTTGCATACTCCACAGGGCTTTACAAGCAGCACAGGTTGCACTGGCTGGAAAGGAATGTTTTATTTTAAGGAAGAAGGCACACCCAGTTTCAACTCTGTGTCACCTTCAGACAGTACGCGGCTCATCTTAAAAGTTCAAACCACTGCTTCACAAGTCATACTTATGCTAACTTCAGATGCTTCCTGTGATTGCTCATTGTTAGGCAAACAGTCATGATTTTTGTTTGCATCACAACTGGATATCTGACCTTATGTTTCTATTTTAGAGAAATAACTCCTAGGCATTCAAGTTTAACACAGGTATTTCTTTATTTGGGACCTGTGTTTTTGACAGCTGTTTTCCTTCCATGAAAGTTTCCTTCCATCACTCCTAACCTCAGATAACCACAAAGATACTGCTTGTACCCCGCACACTGGGGGTCTGAAGGCTCTGTCAGGTGGGAGGTGAGCACTGGTTCCTTGCACAGAGGCAAGATGTTGTCCACTGACAGCTAACCGGGAGTACTTGACTGCAGGTTTGCCAGGCTACCCTTTCTGCTTCTGTGTAATCTGAAGAATAAAATCTCCCCCAAATCCCATGTGAGCCCTGAACAGTCCATCAGCTGCTTTCCAGCTCTGCATGACCTCCTGCTGTTAAGCAGGCTGTGCCTGGTCTGAGAGACAGCAAGTCGCACCGAGATCCCACAGGCATTCATAATGCAGCTGTTTGCCAAATAAGCACGTGTAGGACAATGTTTACAAGATTAAAAATAAAAACCAGTGGGATATCCAGCCACCTAAGCTCAGGCATTAATTCTAACAACAGATGAGCAGGAATCCTATTAGAATCTGTCAGCACACTCCATTAATTAGTCAGAGGATTGCTATGAAACATTGGCCCTGGATAGGCCAGCCTTCATCAGGAGATGCATGTTTGTTTGTTTAATATCAGTGTCTGTTTCTTCTGAGAATTTATCTAACTAGGTACATAAATAACAAATGTTAAGGTTCTGTAACTGTTGGTGTATGGGTCTTGCTTCTGAAAAAGAGGTATTAAAAACATACCAGATTCCTGATTCTGCAGCTCAACCAAGCAGGAAGAAGTAAAAGTAGCTAGCAAATTGAACTTCAGGTTTTTAAGAGCTTCTAGTTTTTCAGGAGCTAAGAACAATAATATTTAGACACTTCAAATACTTTGTGAAGTGTAGCTATACTTCAAGGGTGGGGGAAGGCTTTAAAACTGATAGCTTAGTTCATGATTTGAAATGTTGTTACAGGAAAGCTATTTTTCCAAAAACACATGCAATGAATGCTTAAATCATACCCTATTATTGGTAACTTTCGCATCTTCATTAGCAATAAAAATTCTATGTTGTTATTGAATGAATAATTTACAGATGGCGGATAATAAGGGTAAAATCCAGTTCACTCTCCAAGTTGTCTCGACTCTGCAAAGAAATAAACAGTAATTAAATGACCCATCTAGCATCCTGTTGACAAGAAGTGAAACAGTAGGTGTGGAAAATGCAGGGAAGGTTGGCTGCCAGCTGTTCTAATGTACATCAGCATTCTTGGGGTTATGCAAACGTGAGCCAGCTGCAAACGCTGGCTGAGAAAGGGAGGAAAACAAAAATCTGTCTCAGAAACAACACCTAAGTGCATAGAGTTGTGCTTCACACAAGGGCAAATCTTCTTCAGATCATCTTACTTGCAGGCGTTGGTTATTTTCACTGTTCTGATGGGTAGCAGCCTGTATTGATTTTTTTGGCAGCCTGATAAAAATAGAGTTTAAGCCTGCACATGAACACAAACTAGCAGTGTCCCCATACTGTGTGCAGGAGAACTAAAAAGCACAATTTTCCAAAAGGTAAAATACAAGTTCCTTATTGGCCTTGAAGTGGATGGAGGTATGTGCTTGCAGCAGGTGAGTCTATCCTGAAAACAGACTCCTCTGTCCCTGTGAAGCCTTTCATCAGGGAGACAAAAGTGCAGCACTTACAACCCACTGGGGTTGATATGGATACCTCAGTTTGTTAGCTCCTTCTCCTTTTAGTCCCCAGGGGATGTTTTTTGCATTAAAGCTTCACATGGAGATTAGTAGCTGGCCCCAAAACGAAGGGAAACATCTCTGCCACTTTTGTTCTTTGCACAGAGTTTCAGGTCATTGCAGTTTTGCGCTCATTGTTCAACTGGAGTCTGTTTAACTTCTGGGCTGGACCTTGATCAAATGTCCATGGAAATAAACAAAACACTTCTGCTGAGCTTTGTGGGCTTGCGAATCAGGCAGTTAATCTCCCTAAAAAGTTTCCAGAAATAGTTGTAAAGGAGTATTTGAATGATGTCAGGAAACTTGTTTGGCATACAGAAAGGTAGGGAGGTGTGGATAGAAGTTGCAGCTCCATAGAGAAAATGAAGACAAGGGTAGCATGATGATACATATAGGAAGGATGCTTGGACTAAGCAGTTTGGGCAAGAAGCTGAAAGAAAACATCACAGACCTACACAGGTGTTTAAAGGTGAGAGGCCCAAGAATCAAGTATTCAAGCTGAATACAGGAAGCAAGATGAAATCATTGGCAAGGTTGAAATTAAAAATGGCATGGATAAAATGGAAGGGGAGAAGGCTTTGAACACCAGTACTGGAGAAATACCATACAATACAGAGTGAAGAAAAAGCAAAGCGGGAAGAACAGCAGCAGCCCAGAAGAAGTTACAGGCTAAGAGCAGAAAGCAATTTGTAAATATGAGACCATGTTGTACTTTTAAGTATGCCTAAGTATTACTCCTCCTAATCTGAGGTAAATGAACAAGTTTGCTACACCTGCACGTACTCTCCAGTAAAAAGTTCAATCTTCTCTGTGTTCTGTTTGCCACCAATGCATTCTCCACAAAGAGAGTATAGACAGCACATCCAAGTTTCAGGCCTCTGCTGTAATTGGTCCTTCATTGTAGAAACATTTCTGTGATGAGAGTAATCTAATGTGACATGTTTTTTCAAGTTATCTGGCAAACGACGCTTTGGAAGGCATTTACACGAGCTTTCTGTCATTTTACCTATTTATTAACAAACTTGTAAAACTAGGGATTTAAAATTAATAATATTAGGGTATGGGCTTTCTCAGATAAACTTGTGTAATCTGGATTGATCAGCTCATTGCTCAATTGCCAGGTCAATTTGCCTTCACTTGCCAACCCAAATAAAGACTTGTTGATTAGAACTTCATGTTCTATTTAAATACTTGCTTTTGATGTACTGGTATGTCATTGCCCGACCACTCATAATTAGAGCTTGTTGAGAAACTTTTAAATGCTGTTAGGTCACAACCACATTCTTCTAGTCAAAATCTAAGAGGGAGGTCCAAAACTGCCTAATCTATTGGCTGGGGTACTTGTGGGAAAGCTTGAGTTGGACAGAGCTGAGCCTATTCTGTGTGTAGTGCGTGATCTAGCAGGACCCAGCTAAACTTGACACCCAGCAAGGCCACACAAAAGGGCATACTTCATTTAAGGGTAAACCTTAATAAAGAGTGAGCTTACTTCAGAATCAGTAGTTAAGGCTGTAGGGATGTGCTGGTTGGTTGTAATGAGTATTAATGTTCAAAGACAGAAGCCTTTTTAAAAGAAGGGGGGAGCAGAGGCAAAGAGGAAAAACAAAAAAAAAAAATGACAACAGTGGAACTGAAACTTTTGTTTTAAAAAAAAGAAAAAAAAAGTGTTAAGAGTGTGTTCCTCTCAAAGTCAGACAAACATGCAATCCTATTCATCTGTAGTAGTTTTATCTTATCACTGCTCACTGGAATACAAAGGTTTGAGCACCAGAAGGAACAAGAACAGAGATTCTTAGAAAAATTCTTAAAGGTGTGAGCTGTGGTGCTACATATCCTGCTTTCTGACAAATTTGTATTTCAAGGCTTTATCTCTTGGTATGAAACTCAAATATTTCACAAAGGTTAAGAGGAGCATTACTAAGACTTATTGCCTTGTCAGATTTATTTATTTATTTATTTTTTTTAAACGAACTGTAGGAATTTAATAGCACTTCGTCAAATTCAGTTGTAATTGGACAGTAGCTTCAGAAGATTTTTAGGGGAGAACAGACTGGCTCAAAGATGTGCATAAGCCTTAAACCAGATATTTTCAGCCTGTATTTTAGTGTCAAATGCTTTGGTCATGGCGTCTCTTTTGTTTTTTAATAAGATTGAGAAAAGAAATACTGTCAAAACAATCATTTGTTACTGATGTTAGTGTAGGTAACTGGTATTCATACAGAACCCATGCCATTAAAGTTCTTTCAAATACAGCATTACTCACTTTTCAGAATCCTGTAACAACAACAAAACTTGTTTCCTTAATTTCAGGGATGTAATCCTCTTGCTGAGACTGGTCGAAGCAAACTACAAAACCAAAGAGCTGTCTTAAACCAACAGATCTTGAGAGCAGTAAGAATGAGAGCTGGTGCTGAAAATCTTTTACGGTATGTGCCATCGCTTCCTAGTTCTCTGGCCTAAACAGCAAAATGATTTCTTTTATTATTATTATTATTATTATTTATTTATTTTTTGGTGAGGGGAGATGAACAACTGCTGGATGCTTTGTGAATATTCCTGCACTAACCCTGTTGAGTTAGTGCCTGCTATAAAGTGTGCTTTCAAAGCTGTTGTGTTGCAGCAGACAGGCTGAATGTTAGACTTACTGTAACTATCTTTCTTGCTTTATTTGGTCAGCTTTATTGCTAGTAATAATGGCAAGTGAACCTTGTCGAGAGCAATATAGCCATATTAGAGATGTTTACCTGGACAGAATATTGGGGTTTCTGGGAAAGATACTAGAATCCCTGCTGTGGATGGTGGTAAGCTAGCCCAACCATTGAGCCTCAATAACATCATAATTAAATTGCAGCTATCATCAAAGCTTGACCATCTATTTATGTGGTGCTCAAGATTCACGCAATTCTGAATTTACATCCAGCGTGGGTAATGCAGGCAGCAAATTTTAACTGTGCTTAATCTAAGCAATCTCAGGAATCCAGTGAAGTTCAATATGGAAAACATACAGATAATGTCTATTTAAAATATGAAGTACAAGCTTAGAATTGTAGCCTTGGGATATGCAGTTCTTCACCCAGATGCTCAGCAAAACTGAAGGATGTGCCCAGTAGAACCAGATGTATGAGAAGATTGTTCATAACTATTTATGGAGGTTAATTTTAACTTAAAGGTAAAGACAAAATGCTGCAAATTAGACAACAAAAAACTTGCTTTTTATCTCAAACTCACATCTGTGTTTATTGGTAATAGTTCAAGTCTCTTGTAAACAGTAATACTGTATGGAGAATCGGGTTAGAAATAGGCGTATAATGTCCTGAAACATGCAAATAGCAAATCACGCAGAAATGCTCTAGGGCTTGTATTAATACCTGCAGTGCTAGCAGTTCAAGAAGTTATAATGTAAATATATAGATGGCAAAGGAAACAAATGAAAAAATCCTATTTGCTTCAGAAAAAAAAAAGAATTATAGAGAAAATCAGACTGTATTACAAAGAAACTTTTCTACCTGTATACTTGGTTGTAAAACATTCTGTAATAACTGTTTTATGGAAACATTGTTTTCTTTATTGTTAAGATCAGAAGTCTCAGCAGATCATTACTTAGTTAAACAAAGTGGGAAAGTCTCTTTTGAAAAAATATTTTTGGATTCTCCTCCCCACCCTAATATCTTATAGGAAGAGACTGCATAATCCTAAAATGGGATAGTGATTCTGTTTAAAATGCTTTATTGTTATTGATTAATGTATCTGAAAAAGAAATTGAGCCTTAATCTCACAAAAAATAGCACATGAAAAATCTTCTAGGTGTCTGCATGCTATTAGCTGGAAACTATCTTTCTCTCTTGACAGTAACACTAATAAATTTTGAAACATGAGGTCTTGTATCATCTCTTAAGGGGATAAAAAAAAATCTTAAAAATGTTGAGAATGCTAGCAAGGGGGTCAGCAAAGCTTTCATACAAAACCTGTTTCTCAGCAATAAAAAAAAAAAATCACTTCTTCTTTCTGCAGGGCTACCACCAACAACAAAGTACGAGAACAGGTACTACTGGAACTAAGTTTTGTAAACTCGGACCTGCAGATCTTAAAGGAGGAATTAGAAGGACTTAACATCTCAGTAGAAGTTTATCAAAATACAGAGTAAGTTTAAAACTAAGTTACTCAATTATTAACAGATCTTCTATTTGCCAGTGGAAATAAAACTGTTTCTAGATTATTGTGAATGCTGGACAATAATTACCTGAAAGAACAGAGAACTTGATAGGAAGAGAACATACTTGATAGTAGATTTGTTGACTAAGGGCTAGTCTGAATATTTGTCTTTCACTTGAGAAAGGTATGTGCCACTAATCCTTAGATATGGAGTTCCTTCATGGAGGGGAACATTGTAAGAATTGAAAGGCCTTGGGGCATTATGGGGAAACGCACAACGCCTAGTAGAATTTGAAGTACTAGGATGGCCAACTGGTTCACAGCGTTCTGGAGTGAGCAAACCTAGTGCACCTATCTGTTCTCAAAGGCATACAACAGCCCTCTCTTTAGCTAGAGGATAAAGGAACAACACTGCTTTGGAGCTCAAAGTAGACTTGAGATAATCCTTAAGGTGTGCATTACAGTGATAGAAAGATATAAATTAGAGGACTAAAACACAAATGTGTAATAGATGAAGTTGGAATTGCTCCAAGATGTTATTTCAACTTTAAAAAGCACACAAAACTTCAAATTGCATTGGGCTTCCCAAATATGAAACTTTAACTTCAAAGTTTATTCGTTGTCTGAATACTGCAAAGATTTCTCTATAGGGTAGATTTTTTGCTGCTTCTAAAACTGAACTTCTGATATTTGATTAACATTAGCAGCTCAAGATGTAAACTAAAGTGCTTCGTGGGAGGGGGGCATAATTTTGGATCCTTCTTAGCACTGTTTTTGGTAAGGTTTTAACTTCTGGGTAGACTACAAGGAAGCCTGAATGCACAGGGACTAAGCATGTTTCCAGTGGGGTACGTTTCCCATATATGCTGTCCCAATGCAAAATATCTATGTTTTGTTTTTTTTTTTTTTTTTCTTGGAAGAAACTTGTGCCAAAGTTCCTACCATGACAATTCTCTATATGATGAGATAATTATCTTTTTGTTGTTGTTCAAAATCTTACTGGTCTTCACAGATGGATGTGAGCACAGGGAGCAGCAATGAAAGATATGGCTATGCTAATAAGAGTGAGAGTCCAGCAATGCCAGTCCTTCTAGTTAAATATTTGAAGTACCTGGATTCTCAGTGAAGGACGAGCAGTAGGTCAGGCCTCAAGGCATGCAGAAGCCTTGTGGCTGGGCAGCAGTATGCTTTTTCTTCTCTCCCGATCCCTTCCCATTCTGAGTTTTGCGTTTCTGCCACTGTGATGCTGTACATTTGAAGCTCTAGATGTTTTTTATATGTCATCCACTAAAATAACCCACTCACTCTGTACCGCTCACCAGCCTTTAATAGCAAATAGCCATTAATAGCTACCATCTGAATCCATTGTGTACAGTCCTCAACATGAGGTCACACCCACATCACTAGGTTACGGTTTATTGTATTGCACTGGTCTGAAGGGTTGGTCTTCCCGCTTATTGCGCACGTCTCAGCTGCATTGAGAAGCATGACACCACTTCTGCTCCGACTTGGAAATGCAGGACCGCCTCCCTAACTGTCCAATGCCTCCATGATGTAATCCGTGCTGACTCCATGGGTGTGGGGCCCCTAGGAAACTTGAAAAATAGAAATGCCTCTGCGTAACAAATGCCAGTGTCTACAGGAACTGTGGGCAGCATTAGAATTCATTAAATCAGTAAGGCAGGATTTTGCTTACATGTCTCACTTCCTTCCGAGGGAAAAATTCTGGATACAAAGTGATGTAAAAGGGTTGTGGTTTCTTCCAAAAGCCTCATCAGGAATAAAATAATTTTCACTGCCTGCGGTGGTGTTTTTGCTCTGTACCCTGGAAGCCCCTTCCAAGCTAGCAGAGCCACTTTCTGGATCATGCAAACCAGTTTTAGCACTCTTCCACTGCTAAGGAAGCTGCGTTGTTACTCCTACCTTCCCCAGATAGAATTTTCTCCACTGAGAAAGTGATTTTGCTGATAAGACCATAGATGAATCACACCCGTGCCATTTTGTAGCTGGTAGTGATATACTCTGAATAATGACTATGCAGTGAATCAGCTTGCAGGAAAATGGAAAATATCAGATAAAACTCATAATTGCCAGATACTAATCCATTAAACCTACTAAGCAAACTATGCACCTGGAAGCAATCCTGATGTAACTCTGATCTCTCTTTTTTATAATAGGGTAATATAGAGGAAGAGCAATATAAGTAGCTTTCATACTGAAGGATAAATGGTATTTTTTTTCACTTTTTAATTAAATGATAAGAGTCCCATTAGCTAGTGTTGTTTACTAGTGAGATATGGGTTTAAGTCCATAATATAGACGCGTATTCTCTTGTGGATTAGATTATTATTTTTTATATCACAGTTCTCATCATTATCGCCCTTTGATGTTTTATGGTTTGAGTTGTATACAAGGTTAACACCTCATGTTGTCTCAGTAGTTCTCAAACTTCCTAGTCTTAGACCTTTCCCTGTTAAAGTTGAAAAAGGCACAGAAAACGAAAAAGGCACAGACAAATAGCTTTCCTCACTCTCATCTCTAGTACTCCCACGCTACTAAGCAGACTTTCTTGGAAAGGAAGGACCTGTTCTAAACTATATAAGTTTTACCTGAGCACCCATCAGCATACTAGTTTTCTGTCATCAAATGAAACAGAAGTAATTATTGACAGACAAACATAAAACTAAGATTTCTGAATCTTTTAATCTTTTCCACAGAGAGACTTTCAGCATTCCCTTGGTACCTCTTGGCCTGAAGGAAACCAAAGAAGTAGACTTTACACTCCCCCTCAAGGTAAATTTCAGAGATACATTTCAAAATAAATACTTAACAGAATTTGCATTTTAAATTTGTTTGAAGAAGTAGGAGTAATTTATGTACAAAATATTTTTTTCTGTATTAGTCCTAGAACTGTGATCACAGTGTGTTTAAAAATTACCCAGTAATTACTTGGGTTGTTGCCCTGCTCTGTGCCTTAATTTACATTCCAGTGTAAAGAGAACTGGGCCTGCTTTCTCCTGGTGTGCTTAGCAGAGATGAAGATTTTAGTGTTTGTGCCATTCTTCATGTTTACTAAGCACTACATACTTGAAGTGAAGCAGATCTTCTTTGTTAAGAAGCTGTTACAGTTTAAACAGTATGACAAATAATTTAGTATAATTTTATTCTTGGCCTGCGGTGGAACTATAGGATGGTTTGGTCCCTTTATGGATATTTGGCTTATCTGTCCTCAGTTTTAGATTTGTTTTTGATTCTTCAAGGGACAAGCAATAGTTAAAATATGCTGTACAGGAGCACTAGGTGTTTTATCTTGGGTGGAGTTGAAGGGGGAAGACGGGCTTAAACTGAGAATAATCTTTGGGCTTTCAGGGGAAGCTACAAGTAACATTTGGAATTAGTTATGTAAAATGTTACTCAAATTGCAAAACAAACATAAAACTTCACTTTTCCTTCTGGATTTGGCAAGTTCAAAGATTGAATGTGATACCATTCCATTCAGTATTTATTACTGAAATCAGTATTCAATGTTTATTTATGGCTGTTCCATTCAATATTTATTTCTAACCCCCATGTTACAGCTTCCTTGGCCTTCATGTCCATATTTTCCTCTTTACGATAGTGCCTGAAATAATGTATCTAAATAGGACAAGGAGTCAGAAGATGTTATAAGAAATCCCACTTCGGAGACAGTATAGTTACATGAATTAAGATGAGCATAAATAATAAAAGAATCAAAATTCCTTCTATAGTTTTTGGTTCCAATAAGATTACGACTGATTACTACTCTAAGTGTAAAGGAAATAGTAATAAAGATTTTACTGAGCACAACGGAGTGATACTCCAGTTTGTGCTAGCCAAGCTAGCTCAGTTGAAAAGCAGAGTTGCAGCATTATTACCACTTGTTTGTGGGCTAATATGTCTCACCACCTTCTCTACTTTGGGCCTTTCTGTGTATTGTGCAATGTGTTATTGAACCTCATGGCAAACTGTCCTTTATTACCATCATAGAAGTTGTCTCTGCTTTTACATCTGTAAGTTAATCTTGATGGCCAGATCATACTACCACTTATGCTATTGTAACTGTGCTAATTTTAGTGGAATTGCACTACTATAGCTGACAAGAATTTGGCAGCCTCTTTCTGTTAACAAGTTTTTATGGTCACTTTATTCCCTTGTTATTTTAGATAACAGGGTTCATTTATCCCTTTCAAAATCATTAAGTGTTGTTGTTTTAAAACTCAATGGAGTTGATATAATAGGTGTTTGGTACCTTTACACCAGACTTAAATTTGGGTTTTCGTCTCAATTAAGTTATTAGTTCTGCTGTCTTTTTGAAGTCTCATCACACACTATATGTTGCCATACTATTGACGGGAGGAGACTAGAAAATATGCGGTTCAGGACTGAACCAATTTTGTACTGTTGGGAACTGCAGTGAAAAATAATGAATAGCTTAGCTGAATTTTATCTGTTCAAATATTTTATTTTTTAGGATTTTATTCTGGAACATTATAGTGAAGACAGTTCCGAGTATGAAGATGAAATAGCAGATCTCATGGATCTCAGACAAGTAAGTTGGAGTATGGCATAATGAGATTTTTTTTCATGAGGTCTTTTAATCTAAAGTTACAAATATTAACATTTGTGTAGAATCGGCATGTATCACTGTTACTTATGACTTATTATATTCTTACGGACTTAATTTCTGAGATTTACAAAATAGAGATTCTTATTCTATGAGTTTCACAATCTGAGTGAAGAACAAGTGAGAAAAGAATGAATTTATGCAAAGTGGTTGAGCTATTGACACAGCTTTGTAAATCCCAGCTTATCTATTCTTTTCACTTGAAGTATTGTAAATTTAGTAGGAAGAGTGTTCAAATGAGTGCATCTCACAAAGAACTGCAGTCAAATGGTGATTATTTCTAACTACTGTTTCCAGTATTATATTAGAAACAAACTTTCTTTGTAGCTTTCATAAAATGCTTGTAATCTTTGTTTAATTAAGTCTGAGACTCACAAACCAGGACCCTTTTTCTTCCATAAAAGTTATGTGCTACTTCTGTGTAGCTGAAAAACTCCTTTTTTTGGAGTGCATCCATATGGTCTTAAGCTTAGTGTTCTCGCATTCCACACGTTTCTATGAAGTGCAGAAGTCCAGAGGAAGTAGAGCTTTATCCTGGGTGTTGCAGTATTCATCCTGTAACTCAACAGAATAGACTTAATTTTAACCTGTTGTATTTTAAGGCTTGCCGCACTCCTAGCCGAGATGAAGCTGGCATTGAGATGTTGATAAGCTATTTCCTTCAACTTGGTTACGTAGAAAACAGATTCTTCCCACCTACCAGGCACATGGGAATTTTATTTACATGGTAAGTGTGGAGTTTGTGGTGTTTTTTGTTTTTTTTTTTTTCCTCCTTTTTTTAAGAACACGGTTAATCTTTAACTTGTCTCCTGTTTAATTTGAAACATGTCTGTGCTTCTCTCCCCTCCCCCATCCCAGTGTGCATTGTCAATAGTGGTTGGTGGTTTTGTGGTGTGTTTGTTTTGTTTTGTTTGTTTTTTTGGTATTAAGCGTAAACCTGAACACAATACGTTAGCCCTTTTCATACTTAGGATGAAGCCATTGTCTGAGTTACGATTTGGGCTACAGGTTTGCACAAGGGAAAAAGGGGGCAAAAAATCATTTTGGACAACTGTAGATGTTTCCTGGACTCTGAACTTTGTTGCTTGAAGCAGATGGGGAATGGGTCAGACGCTCCTTCAGTTTCTTGAGTATCTGGCCCTGGAAAGAAGAATGATGTAATTTATTATAGTGTAGTGTTTACTACACTTATGAGCAAGGATGATGGACTCTGAATTCAGAATTTTGATTTTTGTGATTGAAAAAAAATGAGAACTATGATACAAGCAAGAAGATTGTTAAATTCCTAGTCATAACTGCAAAAAGGAACTTTAAAATACAAGTTATATAGGGTCAGAATATAAGGGCCAATAGTTAATCTGTGGCAACATCTAGTAGTGCGTGCCTGATGAAAAAGTACAAGAACATAGCAAGCATGTAGGAATACTTCCCCAGGATGCTCTCAGCCTCAGTAATGTTTTATAGGCACTTACTAATATGCTTCTGGAGGCATTGCTTTAAAACCTGAAAACTAAGTCTCAAACAGAACCATTCTGTAGTTTGCAGCACCTAAATTGTCATTGCAATACATAGTGGTGTTTCTAATCACCTTTATTTTTACTGTAGCAGAACAATTAAGAATGACACTGTTCTTTTGGAAAAACAGAATGAAAATATTTGTAGTTTCAATGGGTTCTGCACGTCTTAACACTTAGTCTAATGTTTGTTTCCAAAGGTATGATTCTTTCACAGGTGTTCCAGTGTGTCAGCAAAATCTGTTGCTTGAAAAAGCTAGCATTTTGTTCAATATTGGAGCCCTCTACACCCAGATTGGAACAAGATGCAATCGTCAGACCCAGAACGGGCTTGAAAATGCTGTTGATGCTTTTCAGAGAGCTGCAGGTACAAATATAAAATACAAAATATAAAAACACATTTATGTGAATGTTCCTTATCTCAGCCTGACATCCTGCAAATTTTTGCATTTTTTACCAAATTCCTTAAGCAAAAAAGGTGCAATAGGGAAGTTCAAAAAGTCTAGAGAAGATCTGAGATGAAACTTTTAATTCAAAACCTGGAACTGCAGTTTGAATGTGCTGATAAAGACAGTTAATGCTGTGGTTAATGATTAATGAATTGTAGTTCAAAGGTCTTAGTGATAGTCCTAATGCTAACTGTTTCATTTTGTTCATTCTTTGTTTCATGGGTATAGCTGCTTTGGCCTCTGTGATATTACATTGGTGTAAAATCTGTACAATAAACAATTTGAAGAGTTAATAAGGAGCTTAGAACCCATTTTTGTATGGTCTTTTCAGAATTAATCTTACTATGTTCTATGGTGAAATTTACAATTCATTTGAAGTTGGCTACGTAGATTGTCCATAGATTCCAAAGGCAAACATTCAAAATACTAAATTTCCATCCCAAGCAAAGAAAAATACATATTCTAATAAAGGGAATTGGATCCCTTAAAATAACATTTTGTAGAAGCTGTTGTTTTTTCTTCAAGTAGTTTTTCTGATTTTTTGTAAATATCATCTGTGCTACAAATAGTGCTTAAAGACACTACCTATGTAATTCATATAATTCATATGTACTCCAGGATTTGTTTTTGCAGTAACAATCTGTGGCTGTGGGTTTGCTCTGTATGCTGCAAACTGTGAACCACATAATAGGATTGTCATAAAGCCCCTTTTTTGAGCACACAGAACAGCTATCCAGAAAATCTGATGGCATTTCTTCATGCATTTATTAAGTAGATTTTGGTTTTCAACCTGTGTATCTTACAGATACTAAAATTTCAGGTAGAAAATTGTATTTGAGAAATTTCTCCGTTTTGCAGCTGCTCCTTCCATTTTGCAAACAAAGTCACTACTTTTCAATATATTTGCAGAACAGAATTAATTCACAAATTTAAATGTATCATCTACTACCACAATACCTTTCCAGGGCCCCAAAGCAACATGCTCAAGAGGCATTTCATTGTACCTGTGCATGGCTCCGTAACACTGTTCATTATGTTGCTGGAGACATGATATAGAGCATGTATTAACCATTTCTCAGTGCTGAATGGAAAATGTTGGACAGAGTTTATTCTCAACAAAGCTCTCACTGTGTGTATGCTTACTGTGTAAGCAGAACTATGTTGAGAGCCAAAAAGATTTTTTTCTGTACTTTCAGTTCCTTTTGGTAGGGCGCTCTGTCAGTACTTGGATGTGTCTGGCAAATGGCTTTTGGTGGTGGTGGAAAAATGCAGAGATGGCCATAATTCAAATTTGTGTAAGCATATATTAAGTTAAAAGATACGAATATAACATAGAAAATGAAAGATATCAGAAACTAGCGGTAGGAAAACATAGCACAGCATGGCAGAAATAAAAAGTGACAAGAAGTAAGATTACAGAAGGTGGGACGCTCAGAAAGCAGAGGTCTTATCTTTGCACTTGCTTAGTATTATCAGTAATCAGCAGGCCAGCAGAGCTCACTAAACCAGTTGGATGACATGCATGCTGAAGGTTATGCTTTCATATGTGAAACTGTTCCTTAATATTTGCACTACAGCTAGTGTTTGCTTTTAATGTGATAAATGATAGGAATGATTAGTATGTTGGTGAAACCAAATGTCTAGAGCAGAATGTAATTTTATCCAATTAAATATACTGTCCTAGTTTACTTACATGAAACTGAGCTTCCATTTAGCAACATCTACGAAGGAGACTCATAATTAATAAGTTTATACATTTTTCTCACTTCATTGAAGGGTTCTTCTATTTACAGTTGCATAGATTATTATTTTTTCTTTCTTTTTCTGTATAAAAGCCCTAGCCTACCACCCCCATATAAAAGTCACATTCAGTTCAGCGTAGCTTTATGGTCAGTCACCAGAACTGTTATGAACAAATCTGAAGGTATTGCCCTTAAAACCTGTATCTTCTGCTGCTCCTCTGAATTGTGATTTTGAGATCTGTACGTTTTATGGGAATGCAAAGCAAAACCAGTAGGTCAGTTTAATTTTTATGCATACCAGGAATCCCTTCAGATTGCTGTAATTCAGTACTAGAAACCTTTTAATCTTATTATCATACATGCTAGAATTAAGTTCACCCATTTCTCTCTCTTTCTGTAATGCTGACCAAAAAAAAAAAAAAATTGTTCTTTCAGGAGTCCTAAACTACTTAAAGGAGACCTTTACTCACACACCAAGTTATGACATGAGCCCAGCGATGCTGAACGTACTTGTAAAAATGATGCTTGCTCAAGCTCAAGAGTGTGCTTTTGAGCAGATGAGCCTTCCTGGAATACGCAATGAGTTTTTCACACTAGTGAAGATGACACAGGAAGCTGCCAAGGTAAAATAAGAGACTTAATACTTGGTCTTTAAAATAACTGTTTCCAGTGAGGTGTTACTAGATAAACCTCTAGTAATATTAAGAGTTTATTAAGCCTAAATTCTGACAATTGTTAATGAAAACCCAAAGTAGCGAGGAACAGCTCAAACTATATTTAAAGTTGTAATCTTGGGCACTTGCCAAAGCTTGTTTTTTGTTTTTTCTTTTAACAAGCTATTTGCTGTATTGCTCTACCAAACAGTACAGACCTTGTCCACAGTTCAGCATACAAAAGAGCAGAGTCCTTTGTGTGGTTCTCTGCTACACGCTGAACACTCAATCTGTAACTTCCTAGTGGCTTGAGGTTGAGCAAACCTAAGAAGTCCAAAAGAATAACTAAATTGTAACTGGGGGAAGGGCACAGAATCAGATTGGTAGCTGCAGAGCTGCTTTGGGACTTGCATGAAAAATGGAGAGGTAGGCTGTGCCCCAGAAGGTAGCACTTGTACTTGAGGTTGTTGACATTAAAAATTGGGTATGAAAACAGATCTGGATATGCTCTCTGAGCCATTTTGGAATAGAAGATATATAACTGGCTCCTGATTAGCCAAAGTGGTCTATCTTGTGATGGGTTGCACACAAAATTATCTCAAGGCTGACTATAACATCCCTTATTTGAGTAACTGAGCTCCTAATAACTAATGTAAAGCTCTCACATTTCAATTCTGTGCTTTATTTTAGGTGGGAGAGGTTTACATGATGGTTAACACTGCAATGACTCAGGAACCAGTCAAAGAGAATATCCCTTATTCTTGGTCTAAACTGGTACAAATAAAATCGGACCACTACAAAGCTCTGGCACATTACTTCGTTGCCACCATTTTGTGTGACCATGAATGTAAGAATCATGTTTGATATATGTACATGTAAACAACACTAACAAACACGTAAATAATTATAATTTAGTCTGTGAATACCACAAAGAGCCTGGAACATTGGGGGGTTTCAATATATGTTATTTTGTGGCCACTTTCCTGTCCAGATACGAGGCCAGGCTTCTTTGTCCTTCACAGAAGACTGGAAAAGTTCAACAAGCTACCTCTTGCAGAAACAGAAGAAATGTTATATCTATTAATCTATTATATGCTACTAAGTTGTTTAATTCTTGTGATTATGTTCTGGCTTTAAGCATTTCTTGCATACTGATAAAAGTCCTAGAAATGTGAAATTTATGTCAGTGTATATATGTAAAAATACCTGTGTTTGGAGAGAAAGTAGTAACTATTGCACAGTACTCTGTGAGAACAAGGTGCCAAGAGATGTGCGATGGCTAATGTTCTATATCCATTCCTATAGTGCAGTCCAGTGATGATGAAGATCAGCAGGAAAAAGCCCTGTCCCAGTTGTATGACCACATGCCGGAAGGACTGATGGCTCTCACTGTTCTAAAGGACAAAGTTCAGAGAAAACAATTAGGTAACTGACAGTTTCCTGCTTGGCAGGGGGTGGGTGGACCAAATGATCTCCAGAGGTCCCTTCCAACCTGAACCATTCTGTGAAAAAATGAAAACAATCCTTTATTTATTCTGTGGAAGACAACAAACAGTTTCAATTTTTTTTCAGGGAAAGCACACTTACGCAAAGCTGTTGTTTACCATGAAGAAGCTCTAAGAGTCTGTGGTTTGTGCAAAAAGCTTCGGAACATTGATGTTCTTCAGGAGGTTCTGACAGCTGCACATAAACGCTCACTTCTCAAATATGCTCAGCAGGAGAAGGAAGATGACTTTCTCAGTCTAATCCAGACTCCAGATATCCTTCGTAAGTATCCACAGCTAGCAAAAAAGGTATCTAAACAATAATCTAGTCCCCAAATTAAGTCAATTAAGAGTCTTATTTTCAGGTATTGCTGGGCTACCCTTTTTCCTCTTCCCATCTGAAAAATGCAGCCTTTTAACTGTGCTTTCAATTAGGCAACCCAGTCTTCCTGACTGATTAAAGATGACTTTTCTGTCTTTTTAAATATGATCCTAATTTTTTCTCCATTAATCAGTATTAATATTTTTCTGAAATAATGTATATATAACTTGAAAGTGTCTTATGATGACTCCTTTTAAGGGACTAATAGAATAATCTTTGGATCATGCTAATGAGTCAACTTAATGAGAGGTACGCAGATCTATTGAAGACTTTAAAGAGAACGGGAGGGTAGGTAATGGATATGCCTGAAGGAGATGAAAAAAGGTGGTGTTAGAAGATCAGTTAAGAGCTACCAGCAACAGTAGCAATAGCGTGCTTTTATTATCTGTTGTGTTGTAAAATATTTGCATGTAGGATCATGGAAGTACTTACAGAATGACATCTGCATACATGTGTATGCTTTCATTCAGATATGACTATTAAACAATTTCTCTAACTTATTTCAATATAAATCAGACGTTTGTAAGTACTTTTCTGATCTTACACAGATATATGTATACATATACATAGGAAGAGGGGAATGTCATAGTGTTGTTTGGATGGATTAAGCTTTCTGCATTGATACCACGATTTCTGAAGATACTTTTAATGTGATTCAGAAACATGTTTTTCTATAGAGATGTGAATCTCCATACAAATGAGCTTTTCTATAGCCTTGTAAGAATTCAAGATAAATTTATATCTAACTTGGAATGCAAGAAAAATACAGTGTAGTATGTATTTTAACTAATACTCAAGAGAAAATTCATTTGTTTTTCTTTTTGTTTTAGCTAAAACAGAGCATAAAGTAGAAACAATCACTCCTCAATTTTCCAAGGTGAAAGTGAAAGACTTCTTTCACAGATTGGTATGTAACATGCCTAATGACCTCTGTCATTTCTAAATTCATTCTAAAATGAGGGAGGTGACACAAGTATTTTAGCTTTTTTGGGGGGGGAGGAGGGGAGAGAGATCCTGTATTCTGTAGTAACTATTTTTTCAGAAGTTATTAGAGAGATCAATCCCTAGCTTTAGAGGCTTGAAACCAGCAAAGAATAAGAGTGCTGGTTTTTATATGGCATTGCACAACATTCATTCTTGATAAGCTTCATAAAAGTCTCGTGAAGTTTCAATAGATAGTTTCATACAACTCAAAGGTGAGGAGAAACAAATGGTATCGGGAAATGGGCAGGCAGAATACATAACATTGCATGCTACCAAACCAGTCTTTCAGGTGTCTGTCAGTGGGCAAAGGGAATGGGGAGTTCTGGTTAGGATCAGAGTATGTGGCGTTTCATGAATCAGTTTATCTCCTCCAAAATGGAGTAACATAGGACCTTGGAGTCTGCAGACTAATCTCAGAACAGCTTGGCAGTTGCTCTCATCCTGCTCTGTTTGAAGTGTCACCTGAACAGCCCTGAAACAGATCTGAGCTCTTCTGGGATAAATCTCAGTTCCGTTTCCATTAAATTAGCTGGAAGTTAACCTGAGTTAAAATGAATGAGTAAATAAATAAATAGAAATGCCTACTTAAAAATGACAGTAAACCATAATGTGCTATGTTACTTCCAGGGCCCACTGTCAGTGTTCTCAGCCAAGCAGAGATGGACAGCTCCACGTACCATTCGTTTCCACTGTGAAGCAGGAGAGCTGGGATTCAGCCTTAAAGGAGGCTCACCTGTACAGATTTATTGTCTTGATCCAGCTTGCTCTGCAGCAGTAAGTAGATTGGTGCAATATTAATGATTTATCTTCATACCCTACCAGTACAATCTTTTAAATGTAATTCTAGCTTGTTGATATTGGTGTATGGAATATTTATTGAGTTCTAGTGTATGTCATTGTAGTTAATTCATACAATCTGAGTAAGTTTTTATTGCTACATACACACCTTTAGATGTTAGAGTATTCGTATCCCTGACATCATATTAAAGTACAGTAGATTTCTTCCTCTGTCGACACTTAATAGGTAGAAAATCCAAAACATAAAATAAGTGTGTTATCCCCCCATCTCATTCAGGAAGTTGGAAGGAATAAAGAATCTAGAAAGTAGCTACAATAAGGATGAGTATCAGGAAGGGAGGTTAGCATGTGCCAAAGAAAAATGAGGGGAAAGGTATGTTTTAATGGCTTCTAATATACTGTCGTTCTTTTGGGAAGAAGGGGATAAAACAACATACAGAGATGAGCATAGCTTAGCTATAGCAAAGGCAGAAGCAAGCACAGAAGTACAGTTGAAAATATTAAAGAAATAGAAGTGAAAACTGGAGAAAATACCTCACAGAACATTACAGGGCAGCAAAACCAGGTTTCACTTCAGAGAAAAGTGAAAAGGACATAAAACAAGCTATGAGCATGCTAGAATCACATTTATCAATGGTAATTCCACAAAGGAGGTAACTTGTATAATTGAGATACTTGCATGTTTTTATCCTAGTTATACATTTTTGTTCCACATGTCTGGCTAGACAGTGGTTTCATGGCTTCTAAGAAGGAAATGCCTTCGGGGTAGATACTGCATGATGACAAAGACACTTTATACAGCTTTATAATTCCAGATTGTAACCTGTACAAAATCTTTTGACAGTCAATGGGCCTAAAAGAAGGTGATTACATTGTTTCAGTTGGTGGTGTGGATTGCAAATGGCTTGGAGTAAATGAGGTGCTGGAAAAATTCAAAAGCGTGGGAGAGCAGCCCATTGAGTTTGAGGTTATCAGTTGCCAAGATACAACAGCATCTATGGTAGGTAACGAGGCAACTACATTTACAGATTTGATATGATTGTTTTTTTTCTTAAATTTTCCTGGCTTCAATCCTTGATTATGTTTACTTTCACACAGTTAGATATCCCACTTCACCACTGAATATATAAAGTGTTTAGCCATGCGTTCTGTTTTAAGGAGTGCGTTTAAAATGAGTAGAATTTGTATCACGACTTACCATGCTATAGTGCAGTCTGTGTGCATAAGAATGGCTTCGGGTTGTGTTTTTTTTGTTGTTGGCAGGTTGTTGTTAGTCAAACATCTTAATTTAATTGCAGTAAAAATTCCATGGCATATTTAATTTTCCCCTAACTTGTCGCAGAGAATGAAAAAGGTTATCATCCTGTTCAGCAGAAGAAAAGCCCCAATGAAACAATAATAGAATACAGTAGGGCATCCAAGACATGCTCGTTTTCTATTCACTGTTAACATAAATGATCTATAAGTGTAGAAGAATTCACAGATTAATGTAATGTATGTGTTTGGTTTTATTTTGATGAACTTTAACTATATAGTTAGTTACTCAACTGCTGTGGAAGATTTAGACCAGGGAAAATTGATCACAAGATTCAAAAATGTTAAGCTGTAAAAAAAATATAATAAAAATATTATTTGTAGCGTGAAAGAACATGTAGTTCAGCTAAATCCACTGCTTCATGCTTCTAGCATTCCCTGGCAAGCTTAGGCACTGAATTATTGCTGCCTTAGAAGTGATCAAGGTGCCCTTACTGCCACTGGGTTTTCTTGTTTTATGTTCATTTTCCTTACTGAATATAAGGAATTGCAAACTTGCCATTCCAAGCTGCTGCAGGACGTGACAGGCTAGAATGTAATCAGACACAGCTAAGATAAGGTGGAGAGGGCTGTGCCTTCCAGATAACCCAAAAGAACATTCTACAGTAGCTTTTGTTGTAATAGCTGCAATCAACACTGAGCTTGTTCATGGGTGTTTAACAAAACAAACTCTTAAGACTTTTTGGACTCCAAGGACATCAAAAACTCACCTTGAGAGATTTGTGCAAGAACAACATACTCAAACTGTGTGGAAAGGTTACCATATACGTCATGCAGCACTTACTGGCTTCCAATTTAAGTTACACAGGCTGTGTTGTTACAGATTCACAAGTCCCTTTACACTTGCATAGTATACCTCTGAAGTCTACTTGGGCAAAATACCAGAATCCTGCGCACTGAAGGACTTTGTGTTTGATTATTACATAATTAGCACAGAAATCTTGCCATAGTCTGCCTTGAAAACTATTTGCACCATAATCTTGTTATCTTCAAACTTTTGACCCATTTTTAGTTACTGATTCTTACAATTCTTCTCTTCTTACAGCATAGTAAGAGTGCAACATATTCCGTGGGAATGCAGAAGACATACTCCCTAATCTGTTTAGCCATGGAAGAAGATAAGATTGATCAGACCAAGAAAGCCCCGCTGAAACTGCCTTTTCTAAGTTGGGGAACTAAAAATAGACAGAAAGCTGCAAGCACCCTCTGCCTTCCTTCTGCTGTGGCTGGAAGTTCTCAAACTAAGAAAAAGCTTTCTCCTTTCGCACTTCTGAATACAGAAAGTTCGTTGTACTGAAGTTTTCAGAAGGATCTGTTAACATGAAGGTTTTTCCTTTGAAAATGTATATAAAATATGTTGATCGATGTTATCATTATATATACACATGTGTAAACTTAGACAAATGCCCTTGACTTCACTTGCTGTGTATTGAGCCACTATGAAGATCAGAGGCTAGCAAAAACTGTAAAACTTGAGTAAGATTTGAATGTTAGAACAAAATGGTTTGGGAGGTGTAGAACAACACTTTGTAGATGAGAGAATTTCTTATACGGAGACTGGATTCCTTTGGAATTTCAAAATAACTAATTTTTTGTAACTATTATAGACTTATTTATTACAAACAATGCTGCATGCAAAACAATAGGGGGCACACTGATGATTTTGCTGTAAAAGTTTAGAGTTGATATAAATTTCTTCACACTACTTTATGGAATTATCTTAAACAGCAAAGGAGAGAGAATAATGTTATTCAGGAAAAAAACCTAACCTTTGCCAAAAGGTAGTGTAACAGACTTGTGGTTTTTATACATAGACAATCTCTTTGAGAGTACTAGGTGTATTCTGTGGAATAGTTAACTCGGGAAAAGAATTAGAGGGCTTAGAAGTCAAATGATCTTTTAGACTACAAAAGAGTTTGACTCTGCTCTTTTCCTGATTTAGCTTTCATTTTAAGAGCTACTTTATGGGATTATTGAAAAAAAGGCTTTATTCCAAACTTGAAGTTATTTAACCTAGTTACGTTAAGATTGGTATTTTATTAGTCCTGATAAAATTGATACCTGTGGAACAAATCTTAAAAATTACATTCTCCAGTATATTGATCAAGAGTATGTAAATTGTGGTGATACCTTCAAAATAAAAAAGTGCTTATAAAATCTTAAGAGGAAGAACTAACACTAGTGTTAGTTAATGCTGCTGTCTACAGAGTAGATATGTACTGTTTGATACTCAAAACTTAAAATAATGGGAAAGTTTGTGTCTGGGTATAAGCTTCAAAGTTGTCATTTTTAGTTTCTTACATAATAGGTGTAAATATGTTAATGACTTATTTAAAAATAAAAATCAAATGCTGCAATTTAGTAGTGGCTTTTTGATTCTGCTACAGCTTGGACAGTAAAGCGTAACTTAAAAGTTTTGAGTATTTACATCTCTATGCATACTTCTGTAATGCTCCTTAAAAAGGCATAAAAATTTATCTTACTTGGAAGTTTATATTGTAAAGTAGAGAAACTTACAAACTAGTGTTATACTTGCTTCCTTACAAGGAATACTAACATATTTCTAGAGTTTCCCTACAAGAGTTGCATAAACAATGATGTGACTTGTGACTAATCTGTCCTTAGTAGTTATTACTCTTTGTGTGTATTTGTAGTAGCACTTCTTTTCTTAAACACCAGCAGCAGTCATATACTGATACAATGCAAGAGCCTGATACCTAGTATTCCACAGAGAAGATAGTTACTTTGCAAAGCCAGGGAAAGTTACAATCCAGCTAGTGAAATCCCTAGCAAAGAAACACAAAATTTCCTTCTAGTTCATTGTTCTCTCCTCTTAGCTCCCTGTGATAGTCTTTCTGCAAGTATCTTTCCCTCTCATGTTTCTCAGCTGCATGGTTAACTGCCTTTCCCTTCCCATCATCATATGAAGTACTGTACAAATATATATTTACTATTTTCTAACAGCTAATTCAAGATTCATTCTACAGTGAGTGGTAGCCAATAGGTAATGTAAGACAAATGCTAATTTCAAAGCAAGTTACGCTGTTAAAGATTCTTATTTTGATTTAAGCATATTTGTAATACATTTCTAAACAGATGTAATATATAGGGGTACTATAAAAGCCTAAAAAAGTAAAGGTTTGCAATGGTTCAGTATTTCAGCCTATAACTCTTTCAGTACTACTACTTACTACTTTTAATTAAAAGTATTTAATGCAGTGAACAAGTGGGCATTTGAAATTGTATAAAGGCACTTTGGTGTTTACCTTGCAATATTGATAGCCACATACCTTGATTTGTAATGAAAATTAGGTATTCCCTAATTGTAAGAAAACAGTATCTTGTTTTGTAGTTCTAGATATTCTGATGTTTACCATTCAGTAAATATTTAATGGCCAAATTGCAAGTATATTTAGATCCCAAGTAAGGAATCAGTATAAGAAGCAGATCTGTCTGCTGTTCACTGGTGGATTAGCTTGATTACAGAGGTGCCAAGGCTCTATTATTTGCTGCTTTTTAGTTTACAAACGAGAATTGGAAGTCCTGCTCAACTGCCTTCCTGCTGTGATCTGAAACCTAAGTAGTGAGAACTTTTAACACCTCCTTAATGAGTGCATAAAGCAAAAATTTTTGTCCTTACTGAATTGGATATCATTTAAAATAAAAAGTATATCAGGAAAACCAATCCACTACACAATTCTTGAAAAAAGATTAATAGTGGAAGTATTACGCAATGGAGTAAGTTTGTTAACAATTTGTGGACCGAAGAAGGACCCAGAGAAACAAGTTAGTTAGTGTAGTCAAAGATGTTTTCTGGTAGCACTTTCCAAAGAAACTCCCAAGTTATAAATCATAAATTTTACAATGAAGCACCACAGGGGGAGGTTACATCAAGTGAAGTTTGAACAGCTCCCTCTTAAAAGACATTTAGAAACAAACAGCTTAAGCAAGCTGCAATAACTTTGATAGCAAGAGCTGCGTTCTCTCTCTGGTTGTGACATGAAGTAATCATTATACTCTATTGTGCTTGTCTGAAGTTGTACAGTACAATAAATCTAAATTTTAAAAAGCCTTAAAAAATTTACTGTCATTAATTGCATGAACTTATCTAATAACCAATGTAACTGCATCACCATCACACTAGTACTGTCATCTGGATTTACGATTCATCTCTATCTCAAACTTCTATAAAGTAAGGCACAGTTCTAGGGAGGATGCATATGATGACTTTTGCTGTAAGCTGTAACTGTTTTCTATACACTAATACATAAACTCACGCTCCCATTAAAGAATGAGGGGTATACAAAGAGTAATCAACTTCGTGTATGTTTATTACATACAACTGACTATAAATAAGTGCTATATTTGGATGAAAAAAGGTAATCTGAAACTGTAGTTACTAAGCATTTCTTTTGAGTATTCCATGTTTTCTGGATTTTAGAAACAATTTCACCTGAGAATTCAACTATAAAACAATTGAAGTCTTACCTAAACTGCAGTGTTAAGTGTTAGGATGATGTAATTTAAGGAAAAAGATAATCAATACAAAGCATATTACTAGCTACTGTAAAAAATGTTTTAATAACTACAGTCGTGTCATGATAGACTCGTATCTGTCCCCCAGCCCGTTATAAATACTCCCTGGAGGGAGAAGAAAAAGGTGGTGAAAGACGTACTTTTTTTTTTAAAGCATTTTAACTCTCATATTTCTAGCTACTGAGATGACAATCTATTCTACTGAAAGATAAGCGAATGCGAGATTGTAGCATGTACTCTAAATAAATAAACACTGTTAACACCTGGGTGGTATTTCTGGAAGATGTATGTAGACAGATTACCTTGTTTTCAGCATTCACAGGAGGAAAAAACGTATTTTTTTTTATTTTTTTTTTGTTCAAGATGGATGTAAGACACGTCCCAGCCCCTTTTCCAAGGTATTTTTCACAGCTCAGTCTACACAACCAGAGCAGTGGTAAAGAGGAAGTAAACTCAAGAGAATTACTCAACACCCTCTGGTTGTTACCAGGATTATAGAAGTTACCATTGTATGTGATCATTAAAACAATTTTAGACTTCACAATAACAGAAGCAGTCTTGTCTTCCAAAACAGTGCTACACAGGTCAGGAACCTAAGAACGTGTGGATTTGTTGTGCTACCGTTTGTCCAACTACTACCTCAAGCTCTTCAACAGATGCATTACAAAGCCGGTGAATACTTCCAAATTGTTGCAGTAGAAGCAGAGCTTTTGTTTTCCCAACTCCTGGAATTTGTTGCACAGTCCGAAATACGGATGGCTCTAGCAGCTGAGAGCATTGTTTACGAAGAAAGGGGTTACTGTTGTGATCCTTACTTTGTTCTCGGACCTGAAACAAAACCAAACCATAGGCGATACCGAGCGCCCTCTGCTGGAGTTCTGCTTTTGTTTTTTAGGTTTTACAATTTCAATGCTATCACGAGGAAGTTCGAGAAACAAACATCCTTGCCCCTCACCTGTGTGCCCTCAAGGGTTTAGATGCAAATCCACAAAGCCTCACTAGGAAATCTAAGAGTTTCTTAAAATAAACCATGAACTAAAACAGTTATTTTGTTACCTGTTTGACATAATCACTGTAAGAAGTTTCCTCAGCCTGAGACTAAACAACAATCACAAGCTGGTATTGACAGATGACTTAAAGGACAATTGCTTAGTGCTGTCCAGTGGCATCTCAGTGCTTCATCAAATACAAAAGATATATATAATCCAGTACTTAGTTCTTTTTTTTTCCCCTCTGTTTCCTCCTCCCACTGAACTGTTCTACCTTACTATTGTCGCAGGATATTTTTTTCCCTACAATCCCCAACATAACTGTGTGTTCCTTTAAGATCACACCCATTCTTTCTGAACACAGGTGATGATTGTAGGGAAAAATAGGCAATTCTCCTCCCATAGCTTAGTAAGTGCTTCTCCACTAATATAGGAACTTACCAGCTGAGTAATAAGTTGAGAAGCTTCTGCTTGATTTGCCACAGGAAGCAGCACCATTCCGAGTTCTAGCACAACAAGCTTTTGCACTGCTATGAAGTACTGGTCGCTTATTTGAGTCCTCTCGACAATTACAATTCCACCAAGACTGTTGGCCTGTATTGGAAGGGGAAGGCAGGGGAAAAAAGAAAGTCCTTGTTAACGGGCAAGCTGATGCAATGCAGCACAGAGCAAACTTCTGTCATGTATGAGTTAATTTACCTAAAAGCAAATCAGAGGAAGAACAGAAGTTGCAGCAACAGTACTGGAGTTCAGTAAAGTACTGTTACATAGATTTGTAATTTTTCAGTTTTCACTGAAAAAAAGTTGTGTCAAATTATGACACAACTTTAGCTCCTGTAGCATTTAAAGAGCACATGAAGAATGTTTTCAGAAGCACAGAATAAGCGAGTTCCAGTTGGAAACTTCTTTTTCTCTTTATGTGTTACTTACATTCCTAAACCGAACCAATCTTCGTTTGAAGTCATCTCCTGCAACCAAGTCTGCTTCCGAAATGTATAAAATGCAAATTTTGTTTGAAAGATGAAAGTCCACAAGTCCCAAGCCATCTTCAAAAATGAGCTTAATTTTCCCTTAACATGAGAACATTAAAAGAAAAAAATGCAATTATATATTTTTTTAACTACTGTACTTTAACAGCACAACCTTCCCAATGTGTCAAAGTTCCTGCTGGCTTCTAAAGAAAGTGAAATTGATTGTCAAGTTTTTCTTTTTTAAACAAGGCCAGCACAAGCAACCTAAAGTACTGCATGATGCCTTTGGAAATGCCAACTAACAGCTCTTTAATAGTGCAGATTCCAGATAGCTTCTTGATAAACTCTGGACTTGAACAAAACCTCCCACACTTTTCTGACAGCATCACCTTCAGTTTGCCAGCCAGTGAAAGCACTACCCCAGTATCTGTACAAATTCGAGGGATTTCAGTGGCGGTGCACATTCACAGTGGTGAATTCACACTCACTGCTTGTGGCTCCCAAGCAGCAGTCAGTTCTTCCTCTCTACACTGCTCAGCAGCTATGACAGGATTAATCACAGGTACAGAATTTTCAGCTTGCTAACGTGGATTATTTCACAAATACGGCCCCAGTCTGAGAGTAAAGCATGTCTCAGCCAATCCAACAGCACTGGGCAGCAGAGGGACTGCTTCACCTTACGTTTTTGTTTTTTCCTCCCGAGTTGTTTGTGCTTACCTTGCAGCCGCTGGGCTATCTCTGACCCTCTCCACTTCTCGTTCCCAACCACGTGCCCATAGGGCACCACCACGGATCCCCCTGCCGCAGGAAAGTTCGCTTTTGTTGTCATTACACCGCCTGGAGCTCTTCAGCAGCAGTTACACCCTATTTAAGAAAATAAAAATAACAAAAACGAAGGCTGTAAGCCTGTTCCAAGCTTTTTTAAAGCTACAGGTCACGAGAAGACGCGGCGCTCTGCCACAGGCCGCACTGCGGGGCCGGGGGCGGCAGGGGGCGGCAGGGCCGCCGCAACTCGGTCGCTAAGGCCGAGCAAGGAGCGCGGCGATTGGGGAGAGAAGCGGCGGCGAATCCGCGGGGCTGTTGGTAGCAGGCCCGCAGCGACCGGAGGAGCGCCCGGGGCCGTCCCGGTGCCGGTGCCCCGATGCCGCTGCGCCTCGGGAGGGGGCGGCGGGGCCCCTTCGTGAGTGCCCGGGGCGGGGGGCGCGGGGCGAGGCCGGGGGGAGCCGCCCGGAGGGGAGCCGCGCTGCCGAGGGCGGCCCGGTACCGGGTGCGGGGCCTGCGGGCAGCGCCCCGCTGAGGCGGAGCCGCTCCGGGCCGGCCGGGGCCGTCCTGCGGCGGGAGGCGCCCGGGGGGCTCTGAGGAGAAACGGCGGGAACCCTGGCGCCCGCCTCGCCCCTCACAGCGGTTACGGCTCGCGCCTAGCGTGTGCTGGTGCCTGCAGCGGGCCGGAGAGGAGATGGGCGCGGATTCAAATACAAAATTTACCTCATTTGTAAAAATTGTGAGGTGGTCCAGCGCTGGAACTGCCTGGGGAGGTTGCGGAGCCCCCATCTCCAGAGCTCATCCCAGCCTGCGCTGCTCTGTGGCCCTTCTCAGAGCACTCGCTGTGGGGAGTGCTGGCACCGGATTTTCTCTGCTGGCACTCAGCATCATCCTTTTTTAAAAAAAAAAAAAAAGTATTGGGTTTGCTGATTTTAAAACTCCCCAAGATTTTTTTAACCCTGTTTCAGGCTAAATGAACTGTTATGACCCTTAAAAATTGTTAGTGATAGTTTTTTTGTTTTGTTTTGTTTTTATCTCATATTGGTGCAACAGAGGATTACTTCTGACTTACAAACCCTTTGTACAAGAGAGGGAATAACATTACTATGAAACTACATTCAAATCTTCTGAAAAAAGATGATTTCTAGTATGTTTTTTCTTGTGTGTGTACACAAAAACAGACCAGTCCTTAAGAAACTTAATTTTGTGGATAGTGATGTAATGGGTAGAGAACCTACAGTCATGGGTCTTACATAAATTACATTTCTAACCTTCACTAGCAACTATTCATACATGTTCTGAAGTTATACTTAAAATCATTCTGTCTTCTGTTTACATTAATTGCATGTAAATGTTCTTCCCTTTTATATTATTTTGTATAGTTAGTTTTTGTGCATGTTTGGTTCTGTACTTCATTGTGATCCTTAAAGTCATTATCAACTAATTTTATTTTAAATTGTTTAGAAACATATAGCTCATGGCCTGGTCCCTGCTGCTACCATAGCTCCTAAACCTGCAGTTCCCCGCACCCCTCCCCCTCGTAGTCCAAACCCTTCTCCAGAAAGGCCCAGGTAGGTTTTGAGTTGTTTTTTGTTTCATCAGTTGCAATAGCATACTAGAAAAATATGACAAGAAGAATTGCATGTCCTTGCTGTAGCATTTACATAAGCTGTTTCAAAAACAGAATGTATTTTTAAATTAGAGCAGTTCCCTTCTTTGAATTGTAAAGATGCCTATTTTCCTCCCATACGTAAGCAAGCCAAGTAATTAGAACAGTTACCTTTATGAATATGTAATTTATTAGAAAGATGACAAATTGATTTTTTAATGCTAGGGCTGTTTTTAATTTGGGTGCTAAGAGTGTAGCAGAGCTAGTACCATGAGTTTAGAAATTTTTGCTTGTTAGAAGAGCAGAAGTTTAATGTTACTATTCTGCCATTTTATTGCATAAAAAAAAAAAAAAGAAGACTTAAAAACTTGTATAGAAAACCATGTTGGATTAGATTTGAATTAGCTATACAGCCAAGTTACACAAAGTGAAAATACAAATGTATTTTCCTTTTCATTTGTAGTTTCGTGGAGTATGTTTTCTCTATATTTAGTTAAATTCTGGTTGTTTTCTATGGTCTTTCTAGTATATAACATTCTTAGTTAATTCTAGTTAATTATTTCTTCCTTTTTTTGACCTCCACTTGTTGTCATTCCTGTTACAGTCCCCACCATTTCTCTCCTTTAATCTTTGTTCCCATTTGTCTTTCCCTCTTCATCTTACGCTTCTCTCTGCTCTGCATCATCCCACTAATAGGTGCTTCTGTCTACTTACGTTTGTCCTAGTTCGCAGTGCTCCAGGATCTATGAACAGCTTCAGTCATCAGTAAAAGGTTCAGAGTAGGGGATAACAGGAACTAGAAAACAAAATAGCAGAATATGAAATGCTTTTTCAGTGTGCCACCAGGTACTATTGTTACGACTGAAGTGAATGCTAAGTACTATAATTTACTGGTGTTAATTTTGGAAATATAACTCAGTATATTCATTGTTATTTTCATGCATTTGATTTGGGCACTTGTACTCTTTGATATCTGCCTTGAGAACACACCTGATTTTGTGCTTTACTTTGGGAGTTAATAGTTAAAAACTAGTCCCTTAGCACTTTCAGTGTTGCTTATGCATGTTAACTTTGAACTTTTTGCTTTGCTTAAGTAGTGAAGACATTCTGCAGTGGAAGAGGATATGAAATGTGAAGACAACATCAGTAGTTTCATTGCTTTTTTATTTTTTCTTCCAGATCTGCTTTAGCAGCAGCTATCCTTGCAACAACACTAACAGGGCGCACTGTTGCTATTCCTCAGCCTCGGCAGCGATCGCTTTCGGAAAGTGATTCCACCTATGTGGAACAAGAGTGCTTTGAGCCATATGCAACAGTCACAGAGCTCAGAATGGGGTAACGTATACTTTCTGTTTGGGTATCTTAAATTAGAGATAAAATGTGCCAATTAAATATTTTAACCCAAGAATTACTGAAAACTAATTAAACTCTGAGTTTTATAACCATTTTTCTTACCACATCATAAATAGAGTCTAAAATGTCTACAGTTCTTATTCCATTTCTCATAAAGTGATGTCATGCACACAGTCCTCAGAGCGAGACTTGGTTTGCACAGCAAGTAAAAACATGCATTATTTCTGCTAAATGCCTATCAGTTATACAAGAAGTTAAACGCTGGGGAATCATCTGAATTGTTTGTCAGGTAATTCCTTTGTGCAAAATTTAGTCTATTTTTGATGTAGAATTGGCAACCTTTGATCTCTAGTGTGGCGCTGTCTGTAAGCGAAAGAAGTAAATGTAGCGCTAATTGTCTATTTTGAAGTGTATTGCGTAGGTTAGGTACTTTGTTTGCTGCCAAAGAAACTTACATGTCTGCTTTTGCTGTTGGACCTGTGTATATTCTCAGATTGATGGTTCTACTTTACAAACATTTATTTTTCAGAAGAGTAAGCGACACTGAAGCAAGCTTTAAACTGCTTTCTACTTGCAGGCCCAACTGGAAACTTGATGGTAGTGACAGATCTCCTCTACAGTCCCTAGAAATATCAGGCAATTGCTGCGAGGATGAAGACATGGATACCTATCCTTCAGATCCTGATAAAGAGGAAGAGTCCAGCTCTCAGAGTAATGAGAAAAGGGAAGAAAGTTTTAGCAACAATGCTATTTATGCTGTTCCTTGCAAAAATAAAAAGGTAGGATTTTCAAATCAGTTAATTCTTTTATTGCATTTTAATATATTAAATATTTCTAAATATTCTTAATGTTTATGCATTTATTCAATTTTTATATATTTTTATGATTCAGTTACCCTTAAACTAAGATAGGTTTGTTTGTTGATCCTTACAGATTCTTTATCTCTGATTATTAGGAACTTAATAGGAAATCACCGGTAGTATGGCTCTTACTATAAACTTAATGAGAGTATGTGTTTTAATCTTGTGAAACATCTCATATTTTCATCTTGAGCTTACATATTTTGTTAAATGCACTTGGAAGTTTTATGTATGGTGAAAGCTTAGTTCTTGATTCAGTACTGTGCTAAGGAGCAGTGACCCTCATAGGGATAGGAACATTCAGAATCAAAGAAATGACTTTGTGGCTTGAAGACCAGTGGATTTTTCCATGTTACAGCGTGGAAACAGCTTAAGACAGTTAAGGCACATCTAAAGTTCAGTTTGCATGCCTGTCCAATGTGTTCCAACAAACAGGAATAAGTAACTGAGTAGCTGAGAAGCAATAAAATGTCGTGTATGTGAAAGGAATTGGAAAACACACCTAGGTGAAGGAACAGTAATCAGTTAGAGGAGGGGGGGGGTGAAAAAGGGAGGGTGTTAAATACGTAGGATGCTGGTATGCAATCAACAGGGAAAAACAGCTAAGACAAGGCTAAAAATTATTCATTAATTCCTCATGTACTGTGATGTGCTAGATAAATGGCCCATTTTTCTTAAAAAGTAAGTTTAGATATGACACAACAAGCAAAAAGATAACTTCATCAATTCTTTGACTAAATAAGATGACAAGGAATGTTGCCCTGGGATAGATTAGACGATTATCATAGTTCTTTACCTCCTGCTGATCACGATAAGGGTTAGATTTTAATTATATATAATCCTAAAGCCAAAAAAGTGTATCTTTTATTATCTTAAAATTTTTGGAGTACAATGTGACCAAGACATTATCTGTAGTAAAACTTCAATATCAAGACATTTGGGCATAGGCTATTTCGATAGTGTTATGATTTAGATAGACTTGTCTGTCTTTTATACAGGAAGAGACTCCACTACCTCCTAGTAATAATGTTGAGAAGAAAGAAACATCGTCTCATGAAACTGAATTTCACATGCAGGTGGATGAGTCAAATGTGCAAACAGAAGGTAAATAAGCTTACTTAAGACAAAATGCCTTACTGTTAATCATAGGGAAAAACAATTTTTGAACAAACTAGATTTATTAGTACCATATGATAAATGATATCTTCCTTTTAAAAAGGGCAGACAAAGAAATGCCATTAAAGTGCCACTTTTAGTAGTTACAGAAAATTGAAAATCTGCAATCAAACTGAAATTCCTAAACATCCACTAACAATCAGGTGCGTTTAAAAGACAACAAAAAATAATGAGCTCAGTTTTGTGTAGTACAGCTACTATGTTTCTGTTGATCTATGTACCAGGATCAATCCAGTTTATACTCTGGAAGCTATTGGAGTGTAACTATGCTCAAAAAATGGAAGAAAGTACCCAAGAAGTACCAGAAGCTATCACTGTTAAGGAGATAAAAAAAAAAATATTCTTATTAATTTTTCTTGAAGACATTTTTGTGTCTGAAAATCAGCTAGAAGAACTTTTTTTTTGATAATACAACTTAATTTCTTCCTTAATTGTATCTATACAGTGTGAGAGGTAAAGTAAGGTATCACATCAATATTCTAATATACCATAAATGGGGCTGGAGCCTCAAGGACTTTCTCACATTTATTATTGTATGTAATATGTGTACTAAAATATCCGTCTGTACCCTTGTAATTTACAGACTTATCAATGCTTTCATTCTTAATTGACTGAAAGATCTGTTTTTCTTTAACAGAAAACAAACATCTTGGCTTGAATTTAAAGGTAAGACTTATGAAGGTTTATTTGTGATGCATTCTGGTGCTGTTAGCTGACAATTTACAATCCACGTAAAAGAAAACTAACTTACTGTCACTAGGGAATGTTTCCTTTGACATACAAGAATGCCTAATCGTTCCTTTTGAAAAATCCCCATCATATAGGTGTGTAGACCACACAAAAGTTGGGTGTAGGTTTTATTAAAAATAACAAAAAATGCT